TCGTATCGGTAGCTGTCACCGTAGCCCTTAATGCTGGCTGGGAGTTAAAAAATGACAGCCAACCTAGCGTTCTTTCTCTGCGAGGAGGGCTGGGTCCTTCTCAGGTTTGTTTTGATTTTTTATCACTATTTCAAGTGGGATTGTTGCCGTGGGGGAGCTGGGCGAAGAAAGGATTTGCATGAAGCTCTCGGTGCTGCGGGGTTGCTAATGGCGAGCGTTATTTCAGCCGGCAGTAAGTTTCATAATCTTGGCCCAGCTCCTGTGAATGTTCTGTTCCTCAGGGTCATGAGCCTCTTTCCCCTTCTTCCATCCCTTCCCCCTCTCCCCAAACTGGTTGGCAATTTCATTGTTCCAGTGGAATATATCCGTCATGTGAGGTCATCACTGCATAAGGAGAGGTGATTGATTGCTTAGGTCGTTGGGGCCTGTCCCATGCTGGGCTTTGAATGCTGGCTTGGAGACCTTGAACCGAACTCTGCGCTCAAAGGCGAAGCGATGTGGGGTGCAGAGGGGCACGGTGATGCATTCCCGGCAGCTTGAGTCGCCGAGCAAACAGACTGCTGCATTCTGAACTAGCTGGAGCGCTCTGAGAGCAGACGGCTTCATTCCTAGAGGCACAGTATCACAGCAGTCAAGCTCGAGATGTTACAAAAATACAGATAGATCATCATCTGCCAGCCGAGCCAGACAGAATCGGGTGCAACTCTTTTCCCATCCCCGGATGGAAGAAGACTCTACCCACTTCTCACTAACACGGCTTGTGTGTGCTCGGCTTCATCCAATTGCTCTTCAGTCAGGGCTGATCTCGGCTAGGTATCAAGAAAGCTGTGAGATTCTCAGATTTTAAGGCCAGAGGGACCATTTTGATCATCGAGCCTGACCTACAGCAGAGCACAGGCCAGAGAATTTAACCAATTTCATTTCCTGCGTCAAGCCCATAACTTCTGATTGAACTGTAGCCTCTCTTTTAGAAATACGGCCACACGAAGGCTCCAGGCAGTAGGGAACACACCACCTGCCTAGGTGAATTGTGCTAGTGTGTGACCCTCTTTATTAATAGTATTGTTCCTCATTTGAATTTGTCAAACTTCAGCATTTTGTAACAGAAGGTTACAGATTGCATTTGATGCGAGGCAGCTACAGCACGAGTACTGCCTGCACACGGCTGGCACCTTGGCTCTTTTATTCCTGTGACGGCTTTTATATTTGGATAGGATTTATCTTTGGGACCACAGTGTACAAGAGTCCCGGCCACGGAGAAGGAGTTATTGGCAGTGAATCCTAGGGTTTCCCCAGAGCATGGTAGCATCTGAACCCCAGAGCTCAGGGTGTCACATTCAGGTTTAGTCTGTGCTCCCTGCTCAGAGCAGGAGTGCAGCGGGCTTTGCTCCTAGCCATTAGTTAGGATGTAAATCCCCAGCCCCCTTGGTGAACTGGAATACATGCTTTGGGGCATAGCTACCAAGATCTGCTCTCTCACGTCCCAGCAGCGGTGGGTCCATGCTGCTGGGGAACAGCAGCAGGATTCGTGCTTCCATCTTGCAAATGCAATGAGAGCAGCTCCTAATAAATTATCCCTAGGGATCTCTGGTCTGGACCAGTAGTGGGGTCCATATGCAGTAGCAAAGAGCAGTGTAATTCTTACTCACAGCTTTCAAGCACCAAGATTCACAAACTGAGCTCAATGAAGTGCCCTGGGGAAATAGCTTTGTCATTCACACTCTGTCATCTGTGCATCACAGGACTGGAACGCTGCGATGAAGGCTCTGTACCTAGAGTGAAAATACACAGGTCCATCTTTGGACCCTGGGAGCAGCCCTGTCTGGTTTTATGACAGTTAGACCCAGGAAACAGATCTGAAAGCAAGAGGCATGCCATGTGGTACTGGTGCAGAAATCCAGTCTCTCTGCCCTGGCACACAAAAGCCTCTTGAATGGTGTAAGGTGTGTGGATACTGGGATTTATACGTCCAGGTAGTAAGAGCATTGGCATCCCCTCCTCTTCTCTGAAGATCTACCAGTTTATTCAGCATCCACACCAGGAGGTGCATAGAGAGCTGAACAAAGGGCATTTGTTACACTTGCCCTCCAACACAGCAGGGTCTGTGCCCAGGACACAATCCCCACTGCTGGTGGCTAACTGCGGAGTGCCCCACACAGGCTTTATCTGCTGCTTTGTCAATAAGCCACGGGGACATCCATGCTCTGTTTTGTGCATGAGCGCTCCAGGCACAGTGGAGTCCAGCCCTCACTGGCTGGCATTTCCACCTGAAACCTTTCTTTGCTCTCAGGGCGTTCATGCTATGGGAGATGCCTCTGTGCTTCTCCCAGCTCCTCCACAACCCCACCTGGGTGTGCTAGTGGAGGACACGCTCTCAGTCTCCAGCCACAGTATGATTAGCAAACCAGAATGTGTTGACTGAGACTGACTGACATTGCCTCATTCCTGCACTCACCTGGAGCCACTTTTGGGGTAGGGGCACCAGGAGTCACCTGCTCTTCATGGTTGGCAGCAGGACCAGTGTACAGTAGTGTCTCGGGTCTGAGGCTTATGCCCCGTGTCTGGGCTGTCACTTCCACAGCATTATGTGTACACGAGGAGGCCAGTGCTGGGGTCACTCCTTCCCCTCAGCTCCAGTTACAGCCATTACCTGCTCCATGGGGCTGAAATTCAGACTGCCAGGTGTGAAAGCAATTCAGGATTTGGCTCTGTAGGGTTTCTTATTCCCAGGCTTTAGACCGTGGGAATCCACAGTCTGGGGTGCTGTTGCTGGAGCACACAATCTCAGTTGAGAAGTACAGCGAGGTCTCCATTATAAGGCATCCCAACAAGCGAGAGGAGCTCAGTGAGCTGGGTGACCCAGCACACTCTGCACCTACACCCAGGCACGTTTCTGTCGGTAGAGCCATCTATGTTAGGAGGTGTGCTAGTGGTTACAAGTGCACTCCTAAAGTACCACACTCCCTCGTGGGACTGGCACTGAGGTCTATCTGCACCCGGAGATCTCCACTCTGGGGGTGGCACTGCCCAGGTCCGCATCTCCTGCTGCCTGATGCAAAATGACCCACAGCCCCCGAAGACCAGAGCTGTCACTGAGAATGCTGTGCCACAGGCAGGGCAGGCTCTTCACCCCAGGGAACATGGTGAGTCGGAGGCATGGCCCCGGGCACTCCAGGCCACCTTGAAACCACTTGGGTGGTTTGTGTGCCTTCTAGCCCAAGGATTCACATGAGGAGGTCCCCGACACTTGGAATACCTTCCCTTTCCAAAGTCCAAAGAAATTCTGTCATGGATTTGTGTTGCCAGACATGATCTTCCACAGCATCGTGATCATAATCCAGATGGCCAAGATCTCACCAGCCTCTGGCTTCGGGAGAAACTTGCTCCATTCTGCTGCTTCTCTGCAGAGCTGCATTTTAGTACTGAGTTCCCTCCAAGGCTTAGAAGTTCAGGAGCAAAGTACAAAGAAATGCTCAGAATAGCTGCTCTTTTCTCCTCATCTTCATCTCAGGAATCCTCTAGATACTGATCTTGCCCCGGAGGGAAGGGCAGGGCACATTAGCCGACAATTCCTTTTTTTCTGTGAACTTTGTTTAAATATTTAACAGAAGGAAACTAAAAATATCCCCAGTTAATGCAGCAGGAGCTAGACAGCTACTCCCTCTTGGGTGCCTTTCCTCCCAGCACCTCTCCTCAGGTGTACATCAGGGGCGTGAGTCCCCAAGCGCTGGGCTCTTCCCTCAGCAAGAGGAAGCCTCCCATTCAGGAGGGGCTGCAGTTTTAGTTCGGGGCATGGGCTGAGCAGGAGGGGATGGCAGTAACCCCTTGGGAGCCAGGTGCAACACAGCTGGCTCAGGGCTGGAGGTGCAGAGTTGGCCTCTGTGTTGACTCCCTCGGCCAAGCATCCCCATTTCTCCATCCTGGCAGCCACAGAAGGGCATGACCATGGGTTGTTGGCATTCATTCTTTCCCCTTCATGATAAAGGAACGAGCTGAATATCTTGAATTATTTTCTCTGTGTGTATGTGCGTGCAGTCTTTGTTGTGGAGAGGATCCCAGGTCAGGCACATAACAGCTCATCAGGGAAGGGCCGGTGCTGCACTGTGCCCAGCCAAGGGAAAGGGCAGACAGCACGAAGGGCATCAGCCATGCGACCGCCGGGCTGATGCCGGAGGGTGCCGTGCGGCCGGTGCAGAAATCCAGCTGGGGAGACTTGGTCCGTGTTACGGCTGCTGCCTAGTGCTGCTTGGCCGTGGGAGGTGGGAGAGAAAGGGGAGGGATAGGGGAGAAAGGGAGGGACGGGACAGCGCAGAGGACACTAGGACAAGAGTGTGGGAAGGTAATTCCGTGTTAGCTAAGAGGAAAGTAAATACTAAATATTTGATAGGCATATTTTTGCTCTTAAATTCTTTAGTACGGCTGGACTTTTCTCGCTGATTCACTCTCTCTTTCTCAGTCTTCTTGGTTTATCACTCTCATGCTTCCCCTCTCGCTCCCTCACTCTGGCACGCAGTGAAGAGGCTCTTTTTTAATAAATGGATTACACGCTCTACACTATAAATAAACACAGGAATTAAGATTCCAACTTGTTCCAGCGATAAGCAAACAAAGATGCCGAATCCCCCTCTCGGCCCTCAGACAGGAGAGTCCCTGGGGAAGCTGCGCATGTGCCTCTGCACGTGTGCTCCAGAGATGTGTGCATACGCTAACGTGCGTGTTTCTGTGCGGCGTTGGGGTCGGGGGAATGATGCACCTCTGTGCAGGAGGGCACACAGGCATGGAGGGCACGAGAGCAGGAGCGGGTGCACGTGTGGGTGCACGGGTGCCCCATTGCCCTGCCCGCCGGGGTCGAGAGCTCTCTGGCAGTGGCACACGCTGCCTCC